AAAAAAAAAAAAAAAAAAAAAAAAAGACGTTCTTTTCCCCTATTCCAAACAATGAGGAATAAATTGATATGACACTGTCGATTCTCATCGATCACATGAGGCATAGAGAGGGGTGAGGTGAGGAGGAACTCCACAGGTCCGATAACTCTGCACTGCAGCAAAAATTTGTAATGATCTGCGTACAACTTGCTTGATGCATTGTCATGGCCCCAACCACCACATAACAGCACAGAGAGAGATAAAATGTGCGCGCGCGTGAGAGAGAGAGAGAGAGAGCGAGAGCGAGCGAGCGAGAGAGAGAGAGAGAGAGAGAGAGAGAGAGAGAGAGAGAGAGAGAGAGAGAGAGAGAGAGAGAAGCTTACCTTAAAAATGTAAATGAATTTTTTCCCGTGAAAAAATTGCCGTGTCTCTTTCAAGTTGACAGCCTGCGAAAGCCAAGGCATGTAACCGCATGAGAAATGAAGTGCATTACACCACCAACAACAACAACAACAGCAACAATGATGGAGGACATAAAATGAAGGTAGCTGGAAAAGCTGAAAAGATTAGAGGAGATGTACAAGTGAGGCCAAACAGAGGAAAGAGAAGACATGCAGACATGCAGAGCAAGTGAGTCAAGACACTGGAGAGCTGAACAAGTGCCACTGCCCAGAGAAATATGCCCAAAAAAGGTCTGAAAACCACCCCAAGTACCTGGCCGGCCTGTATGGCTAAGTGTTCTTGATAAACAGATCATGAGTTCGAATCCAAAAGAGTACCAGTGCTGAGAGAAATATGCGCAAGGTGAAAGATCCGACAACCAAACGAGAGAACCCAGCCTGGTCGCTAGGTGTTACGCACATGAAGCTCTCCAGAAACAGATCATCAGTTCGAATCTGGACAGATCCAACAAAGTTGTTAGGTGCTTATCCCCTTCCAAAAGTACCGTACAAAATGAAAAAGAATCAGTCAAATGAACAAGACCGAAGAGCTGAAAGAGAATGCACCAGAGTTATTTGAGCAAAGGTCGTAAAGGAAGAGGTCAAAAATGCAAATGGAGTTTGATGGACCCAAAACATGACGGGTCAACAAAGAATCAAGCCGGAACAAAAAAAGGAAGAAAGAATCTACGGGAAACGAGGACAAAGGGGTGTCTGGAGTGGTTGTGGCATAACCGAAGGAAGGGGTGCAAGCAAAAGCCACAGATGCAGGAGCACACAATAGCGAGGCAGAATTCCCAAGCAGCGGTGGGAAATACACAGTAGCAGAAAATGCGGTGACTCGTAGACAGAGCTGGGTACCTCACACAAGTAAAAGAGTAAGTACTAAGTAGTGTTTTTCTTTCTTTAAGAGTATAATAATGGTGCAAGGAACATGAATGTGGACGAAGCACAGAAATCCAGATTGCAAAATCACACTGAATTCCAAGTAGTCAAAGCAAGAGCAGACAGCACAATGGGACCGAGTAACCATCCATTTGAGAACGATACAGAAGAATCGTGAGTCAATGTCCAAGCCCAATCGGGCAACACCAACAGCATAACCCAATGTAGCTCTCTCTCTTGAATGGCGCCAGGCGCCCTATCTACTCTACAGCCTATCACTACAACTACAGCAATGAAAGCAACCAGACAACTTGACGACCAGCGAGTGATGATGTCAACACCAATGCCGACCTCCTCTCCACCAGGTACGTCTCTCTCTTCTCCCTCACTCTCCCTTGTTATCCCACACAGCGCCCTTCACCTCCGAAGAACCACCTTCGCCCTTCACCTCCTCTGCGCCCTTCAGGCAGCCCGGCTATGGCTGCCAGCGCCCTGCACACAGGCAGCGCCCTACCGCTTAGTGCTAGCCTGTCTCCCTCAGCCGCAGCGCAAGTGCAGCGCTACAATGCAGCAGCGTGCCCGCAATGCCTGCATTGGCCAAGATCCCTGCCCACTCGCCCTCCTTGCCTATATGCCAGTGTTGTGTGTGGGCGGCCTCCCTTGAGCCTGCACCTGGGCCCCAGTACCTGTACCCAGGCCCAATGCGGTTGGGGCCCAGGAGATGCAGTTGCGCCTCTTTCATCAAGGCCTGCGGCCAGATTCAGATAGTGGACCGGTTTCCCATTGGCATTTTCGGCCTCTATATCCAGCATGCATTGTCGGCCTCACGTTTATGTGCCCAGGGCCTGACCAACTCTGGGGCCCTGGGATTTCTGCATTTGCAGAGCTCCGATACTCGGTGCACTCCAACCAACTGGCGTGCTGCAACTGTATGGACCCCACTTCGTGAAATGTTTGCACAGAGGGCTCTAGTTGATTTGCTGGCCCGCCTTCACTTAGGGCGGGCACGAGGCTTGCTGGGGCCTTAGCCCAGAACATGTACATCATGGCAAGGCCCCTTCTTGAGGGCTCAATCCTCACATTCCATCCCCCTTAGCTTCGAAAGTCCGCTGAGATGCTTACTTCGCAGGTGCCTTCCCTTTTAACATTCTTTCATATTCTGCCACCACTTGAGGAGCTGTGTCAATCAGTTCCTCTCTGGTAAACCACCGATCTTCTTTTGGATCCGTATGATGCCTGAATCTGACGCAATATTCTCTCTTGGGTTTGGGAGGTCTTCCTCTACCCAGTGGCTTTGGAACAGGCAGGTCTCTGTGATCCACAATGTCGTCGATGTCCACTTGGCCATCCACGGTTGGGGGCAGCATCGATCTCCTTGAAGGGAATTGATCTGTCTCAGCGAAAGGTGCAAGCTTTGAGGCATGAAAGGCAGGGTGAGTGCGCAGATGACCAGGGATACGGATAACATAGGTAGGACCATCCATCTCATCCCCAACTATATCCAGGACTTCCCATGGACCAAAATACTGAGGCATTAGTTTGCGAGAGATTCCGAATTCCTGTCCAAGTTCACTAGCCTTGACCCAGACACGTTCCCCTACCTGAAATGAGGACTGCCGACGATGTTTGTTCTCAGAAGCAATCATTGCTTGCTGAGCTTTCTTGATGTGCTCGACAGCTTGCTGCAACAACTTCTCATACTGCACACCATACTCAAGTGTGCCTGAAGTCGCAGAGGGTGGATTTTCAGGCAGGAGAAGTCCAGAGCTGATCTAGGCTTCCATCCCAAGTGTAGTTGATTACGACTAACGCCGGTACTGCTGTGTACAGCGTTGTTGTACAGGCTGGCGATGAGAGGCAACTTCTCATCCCAGTCATCCTGGCTGGGCTTGATGTAATGCCTCAGCAGGTGTTGTACAACCCTGTTCATCTGCTCGGCCTGTCCGTTGGCTTTGGGATGATTCCCTGAAGTCATCTGAAGTTGACTGCCCATCTGCTCAGCAGTCTTCTTCCACAGCTCACTTGTGAATCGGACATCTTTGTCACTAACAATTGACTTTGGTAATCCAAAATCACGCACCCAGTTGTCCATGAACAACTTGATGACATGGTCAGTCCTTGCGGTCTCTGGCATGGCAATTAGTCTAGCGTATTTGGTGAATCTGTCAATGATGACAAAGATATGCCTCTTGCCACTCCTACTGGTCATTAGGGTGTCCATGAAGTCCATCGAAACACTCTCCTGGACCAGCGGGGATAGGTAAGGGCTTCAGCAACCCAAGCGGTGCTTGAGTTCGCGGCTTGTCCCGCTGACATACCTGACATGTCTCTACATACTTCTTTGCGTCATCCAGCATTCCAGGCCACCAAAATCGCTGTACTAGGTTGGCACTCGTCTTTTTGTAGCCAAAGTGTCCGGTTGGGTCATGACATTCTCCTAGAAATAAACTACGCAAACGTTCACTAGATGGAACAACTAACCTTTTAACTCCGGCCTTATCAAGAAAGAGAAGCCCGTCCACCATCACAAACTCATTTTCTGTGGCCTTGTCTTTTACCTGAAGTTTGCGTATGATGTCCATCGTGACAGGGTCTTCCTGATAGGCTCCCACCAACGATTGAGTTAGTTCTTCAGATACACCAAAATCAGAAACTAGCGCGCCTAGGTAGTCTGCTCTACGTGACAGCGCATCTTCAACCTTGTTGTGCTCTCCCTTAAGATACTCTAGCTTGAAGTCATACTAATCTATGACCTCAATCCATCGCTTGAGTGCATCAGAGAGAGCAGGTTGAGTCTTGATCCATTTGAGGGTCTGATGGTCGGTTCTCAAATAGAAGAACCTTCCCAATAGAAAGTGCCTCCAATGAACAAGTGTTTTGTAGAGAGCATAGAGTTCTCTTTCATAGGTCGACTTTGCCAGTTTCTTTGATGGCATTTTCTTGCTCATGTACTCAATCGGCCTCAACTTCTTCCCATCCTGCTGAGCCAGCACTGCGCCAATGTCGTATTGGCTTGCGTCAGTGGTCACTATGAATGGCTTCTGAGGATCAGGCACCATGAGAACCTCATGATTCATGAGTGCATGATTCAATCGTTTGAAAGCAGCCTCGCACTCATCACTCCAGTCCCACGGCGTGTCAAGTCGAGTTAGATCGGTCAAAGGAGAGGCGACTGTAGAATAGTTCTTTACAAAGTTCCTATAGTAGCCGCACATTCCTAAGAAAGTCGGAGGTCGTGGCCAGTCCCTGATACTAGCCACCTTCGCATCTTCCGGCCTAATACCATTCGCGGATACTTCATGACCCGAGTATAATATCTTAGTGCGTCCGAACTCACATTTCTCTAAGTTGACCTTATACTTGTGCTGCCGCAAGAGTGAAAGTACAGTCTCAACTTGCTGTGCATGCTCTTCGACAGACTTACTAAAGATAAGAATATCATCAACGTAAACTACGAGAAACTTATCTAAGTGGTCATGGAAGATCCTATTCATGGCATGCTGGAATGTACCCGGCGCATTGCAAAGGCCAAAGGGCATCACTACGAACTCATACAGACCGTACCTGGTCTGAAAAGTAGTCTTGTGCTGATCCTCAGGTCTTATTGCAATCTGATGGTAGCCGGATTTGAAGTCTATCTTGCTATAATACTTACATCCCTGCACCCTATCCAATAGGTCGTCTATGCGAGGTAGAGGCTCTGCGTTCTTTACTGTAATGGCATTGAGGCCTCTATAATCAATGCACATCCTCAATCTACCCCCCTTCTTTGGTACAAATAGTACTGGAGATCCGTAGGGGGAAGTACTCGGCCGGATCCATCCCTTCTCTGTCAGCTCTTTCAGTTGTCGCCGAAGTTCATCCAACTCGGCCGGAGCCATCCTATAGATCCTTCCCTTTGGGGTTTTACTCCCTGGAATGATTTCTATGGCATGGACAATCTCCCTCTCTACGACTTCTGTAGGCTCTGTGAACAGATCAAGGAACTTAGCAACGACGTGTTCTATCTCTGGGGGTGTTTTAACGGCCGCCCCTTTCTCAGAGACATACACTAGGTACATACCCTCCTCTTGGTTCTGTTTATAATAGTTATAGAACGATGATGCACACAAGCAGCCATA